GGAGAATACTGAAAGTGCCATGGGCTGCCAAAAGAACCAATAGATCTGTTTTGGAAGAAGTGCAGCCAGAGTGCTCCTTGGAGGCCAAGATGGCTTCGTCTCTCATACTTTGGACATATTGTCCGGAGGGAATAGTCGTTGGAAGAGAATGTTATGCTGGGTAAGGTGGAGGGTCAGAAAAAAAGAGGAAGACCCCTAACGAGATGGATTGGCCAGGTGGCATCATTGATGGACTCAAGTGTGGCAGAGGTAGTGAGGTTGGCCCCGGATCAGACATTGTTTCGTTCTCCTGTGCATGGGGTCGCTATGAGTCGGTTTTGACTCGATGGCACCTGACAACAAAACAAAAAATGGTACCAGAGCTCCTTCTTGGATCAACCATCAACTCTCACAGAAGCAGCAGTCAAGAAATCAAACGACGTATTGCATTAGACAAATCTACTGCACAAGACCTTTTTAAGTGTTGAAGAGCAATGAGCTTGAGGACTAAGATGCCCCTGACGCAAGCCATGGTATTTTCAATCATTTCATATGCATACGAAAGCTGGACAGTGAATAAGGAAGACCATAGAAGAATTGATACTTTTAAGTTATGGTGTTGGAGGAGAGTATTGAAAGTGCCATGGGCTACCAAAAGAACCAACAGATCTGTGTTGGAAGAAGTGCAGCCAGGGTGCTCCTTGGAGGCCAGGAGGGCCAAACTTCATCTCTCATACTTCAAACATATTGTCAGGAGGGACCAGTTGCTGGAGAAGGATATCATGTTTGGTAAGGTGGCGGGTCAGAGAAAAAGAGGAAGACTCCCAGTGAGATGGATTGGCAAAGTGGCAGCATCAATGGACTCAAGCGTGGCAACAATTGTGAGGTTGGCCCGGAACTGGGCAATGTTTTGTTCTGTTGTGCTTAGGGTCGCTGTGAATTGGTACCAACTCGATGGCACCTAACAACAACAAGTGGCACCATGGGTTCAAACTCACCAGCTGCTCCACAGGAGAAAGATGAGGCTGTCTGCTCCCACAAAGCCTTGGAAACCCTCGGGAGCAGTTCCCTTCCATCCTGTAGGGTTGCTAGGAGTCGGAATGGAGTTCAGGCTGTGGGTTTGGTTGGTTTTTGTTTTTAGCTTCTCATCATTTTGTCCTTATGTTTTTGGCAACTGAGAAGGCGAGTTTATGTTTGCTGGAAGGGGTATTAGACCGAGACAGAATGGTTCCTCAGGGAATTCGGTTTATAAATTGAGGTTCCACAATGTCCAACCCTGAGTTCCCCCCAGGAAATTGACTTCCCACTAAGTGGAGCCTCTGGAAACGGGCCCAGGAGCCCACCTACAAGACGAGACTGGACTCCGAGTGCCATACTTTAAGCTCCATTTAGGGATTTAATCCCAATTTGTTCAGATTCCAGCTTTCCCAATCTTTATCTTCCCAATCCCACTCCAATTCTGCCTAGCTCCCATCACCATGGCAACCCCGGTCCCCTGAGTAAGAAAAGCATCAAAGCTGCTCCCAGCTGCCAGCCACCATCCTGTCCCCCTGGTCAGTAGGGACACACTTACTCTGTCCAGGAGCACAGAGCCCTCACATGCTGGGAGTTCCACATGTAGGCAAATCCTGTGTCCCCTCCCCGCAGGCTGAGAGTCCGGAGACTAATTGGAGAGGGTAGATGAGTGGGGGTGGCAACCCTGGCCTTTGAGTGCCCCTGTATGGCCCACCCCTCCAGTGGGTTCCTCCATGCCTGGGATCTTGGGCGGAGATGGGCTAGAGCAAAGGCTGGGACACACCCATGGCCCCTACGTGGATATAGGCTTGGTCCCCTCACCCAGGACTGGTCCTGGGAGTCAGCTTAAGGGCCGGGGTGAGCAGATCTCCTATCCCACTAATCCCTTACCTGTGAGTGCAGGGCTGGCTGGGAGGTAAGGCTCAGGGAATGGGGAGTGAGAGGTGAAGTCAAGGTGGGGAGGGAAGGGGTTTTGTCAGCAGGAGAAACCCCTGCACAGGGGTGCTGGGAGGGCCCAGTCTGGTTGGGTGAAAAGCTCTGGCTCACCCCAGCCTGTCAAGTTCTGCCATGACCTTGGCGAGGTGGTCCTCTCGGTGCCTCAGTTTCCCCAGTGTAGAAGGGTGTGTTCTCTGGTAGGGTGGCCAGGTTCACATGAACTCGCGTACCTATAGCACATGGAGCTGGGCTCTGCAGCAGGGGGACTTTGTTCAAGATCTTCATGGAACCTGGATCCACCTGGCTGTTCCATCCCTTCCTCAGCGAGCCCCTTGGGCCTCTCCCATGGTTTGGGGGTAATCCTAGGTTTCCTGCCTCCCTATATTCCCCTCTGGAGCCCGCCAAGGTGCTTAGGGCTTACTAGGGTAATTGTTTGCTGCAAGCCTGCACCCCCATCTCTGTGACGCCCCACACCCACCCTATGAGGGCAAGACCTGGGCTCCCTCTGTCCCTGCAGAATCCAGCTCAGTGGATGAAGGGAAGACGAGGGGAGAGGGGCACAGAGGGAGGAGACGGGCATGACCAGTGAGGGCAGTACCTCCTGTCCCCAGGTCCGCGACTACGACTATTACGGGTCCTATGGGCACCAGGCGCACACAGACTACACCTACAGCAGGCTGCTGGGCGAGGAGTACACCTTTGACTTCCCGCTCCACCACAACATCGTGAGTAGACGGGCCCCACCCACACCGGACGGGTGTTAGTTCAGGGACTAGAGATGCTACCACGTGGGGACAGGTGTGTGTTCAGATGAAGGCTGGGGCCCCACCCCACACAGGTGTGTGTTCAGGAGTAGACTAGGGAAGAGTTTGTGTTCAGGTGGAGGCTGGGTGCTCTGCTCCTCATAGAGACAGGGCTATGTTCCTAAGGGGTTGCCTTACCTCTATCCTCCAGGGGCCCCTCTAAGTCTGTCTGGGCTCCACACTCACCCCGTCTGAGGGGCAGTTAGAAATTGAGGATACCTGGATGCCGGGGCCTCAGGGCTTCCTTTCTCTGAGCAGTCCTTGAGTCCTTGAGCTCTGCAGGTGGGGGGGTGCCTCATTGGGTGGGGGTGCAAGGGGACCCCATGGCCACAGCCCCAGTGCATGTACAATAGTTCCAAATAAGAGCATTTCCCCCTGATTGTCTCGGCCACATAGAGGTCCCCACTGCTGAGGGAGGCAGGCCTTATGTCCTGCGTGTGGTACTGGATGACCCAGGGTGGAGCATCAGACACAGCGCTGGGCTGGCCCGTCCAAGACCAGAAGGAGGGTGGACCTGAATGACCAGACTGGCCAGGTGGTCTTCTGGAGGCTTCCATGTCCACTGGGGCAGAACGGACAAGGTCTGGGGACCAGGCGGTCCCACTTCACACTGACATTCTTTCAGGAATGTTCTTTCTGCAGCTTTCTCAGAAAGACCACCACCAAAAGTCGTTCACCCTGAGCCCACCGTGGCATTTTGAAGATTGATTCAAGGATGTTGAATTTGTCCCAATGGATACTACTACACTGTGGGGGTGGGGAGAGCCAGGCCTGATGCTGGGGGTCCCTGCAGCCTGTGGAGATTTCCCATGCCTCTGGTCATGCTGAGGGGCAGTGCAGTAGGTAGGCTTCTGGGCTCTGCTGCTGCCACCTGAATATCTTCATCCACTCTGAAGCAGGGCCCCCTCTCACTGTGCACTGGACCCCACGGATTTTGTAGGTGGTCCTGGAGGGTGGTTGGATCAACTCCTGATCCATGGCACACCCAAGCCCAACGGAACGAAGTGTTGCCCGTGGTTGCAGCAGCCCCTTAATCACATGTGGTTTCAGCTGCCGTGTAATCAGCTCTGGCTAATGACAACTCCACAGTATCAGAGTGCAGCAGCTCTGCAGAGTTTCCAACGGCTGATTTTTCAGACGTGATCTCCAGGTCTTTTTTCCAAGGTGCCTGTGGGTGGACTTGAACTGCCAACGTTTTAGCAACTGAGCTTATTAAATGTGTGTGTTCTTCTTAGGAACCCCTTACACTCACCGTTTCCCCCTAAGCTTTAGTGGTAGTATACCTGATAATGCGCTGCAGAGAGCAGAAAGAAGTATCATAAGGCTCCGCTCAGTGGCCGAGCACCCTCAGCACCCACTCCTCAGTGGGGTGAGTGTGGCTCGTCTGGCACCTCCACGTCTGTAGCCTGGCGGACATTCTGGCCCCCGAGGACGTGGGAGCTCAAGTAGACGCCAAATTGGCTCGTGGCTTCGTGCAGCCTCCGCCAACGCACCCGAACAGTCCTAAACCATGAAACCCGCACTTGTTTCCAGCGTTGGCACTGTCCCCAGACCAGCAGAGGAACCACAGCCGACAAGCTGACTTTGGCTTCCGTCTGCGGCCCCAACACCATCAGCAAAGGCTGCTCCCAGCAAAGAGCAGGAGACAGTAAGAGGTAGTGATGTCTGGAGGAGGCGGAGGACTGGAGATACTCCACGGGGCACTGTACCCCTCCTGTGGTGTTTGCCAATTTCCATGGTGTAAATACGCCCACCAGGGCTGAACATAACCCACCAGCATGACTTCGTGGAGACATGAGTACCTCGGTGTCTCCCCTGGGTTTTTGAGGCCACTTAAGTATGTGTGGTGGTCAGGCTTGGAGGAGACAATGATGTGCAGTGATTACCTATTGTCCTGGCCAGTATGATGAGAGGACTGAGTGTGGACAGCCTTATCTTGTTGCGGGTCTTCAGGACAAAGCGTTCACTCGTTCACCATAACGTCTGATAATAGTTTGAGGTTTTTATGTATCCCTGCATCAGATCAAGAAAGTTCCCTTCTATTCTTAGTTTGGTGTGTGTGTGTGGGCGGGGGGAGGGGGGCTCTCCGGTGGGGGGGCTTATCATGAAGTGTTGAAATGTGTCAAGCAGCTTTTCTGTTTCTATTGAGATAGTTATATTGGTTTTGTTCTTTAGTCTATTAATATAGTGTATCAGGTTAATACAGTGTATCAGGTTAATACAGTGTATCAGGTTAATACAGTGTATCAGGTTAATACAGTGCAGAGCATATCAGGTTAATTGAAGTCCTGGTGTGGCGCTGTAAGGTAAGCACTCAACCGCAAGGTCAGTGGCTCAAACTCACCAACCACTCCCTGGAAACCCTAAACAGGGTTACTATGTGTCGTAACCAACTCAACAGCACTTACAACAACTTACATTCCTGTGATCAAGCCCATTCAGTCATGGCGTGTAATCCTTTTTATATGTTGCTAGATTTGATTGCTAGTGTTTACATTACATAGTATTTTTGTGACTGTGATCATAACGAGTATTGGTCTGTAGTTTTCTTCTAATGTCTTTGGTTTGGGAACCAGGACAGTGATGGCTTCCAGAATGAGCAGAGGAGGGTTTTGATGGTGGAGGTTTGACTTATTCATCTTTGAGTGTCTGGTAAAGTTCACCAGTGATGCCTGGGATTTCCTTCTTGCTTTTAACTTTTTACTGTGATTCAGATGAAAGTTTGCAGAGTAAATTGGTTTTCCATTCAACAGTTCAAGCGTATTTTGATTCACGGTATTGCTTGCCGTTCCCACAACGTTCCAGTTTCCTGTTTCCATTCTTTTCTTCCTTATCCCTACCTGCCTTCTGGGAATCATCCCTGGACAAATGCTGCCCTTGTGATCTATGGTGGGTTGCTTTAAGGAGTGGGGACATGGTGTGATAATTTACCGTATAAGGACGGACTGTCTTTTGGCTGAAAGTTGAGCCACCGGGGTGAGTTCAAGTACAGGCTTGAAAAGAATCTAAGGGCCATAGTCTCAAAGGTTCCACCAGTCTCTATTTGCCCAGCAATCCTGGTCTTCTTTTATGATTTTGAATTTAATGCCATATTTTTCTCTCACTCTATCTGAGACTTCCTACTGTGATCTGTTCAGAACTGTAGGAATTGGTAGCCAGACTCCATCTTAGTTCTGCTGCCAGATTCCTGGGATTTTCTTTGTAGGGGATTTAAAAATGCTTAAGTCAGTCTGCTTACTTGTTATATAAGGAGCTCTGGTAGCATAGTGGTTACAAATTGGGCTGCGAACTGCAAAGTCAGCTGTTCAAAACCACCAGCTGTTCTGTGGGAGAGAGATGAGGCATTCTGCTTCTGTAAAGATTTACAGCCTCGGAAACCCTGTACCGGGGTCGTTATGCATTGGAACTGACTCCACGGCACATGACCACCACCACCATCACCATTTGTTATAGATCTATTGAGAGATTCTGTTTTTTTCTTAGATTAGTTTCAGTAATTTGTATATTTCTAGGAATTTGTCCCCACAACTTGTCTTTCAGTTTGTCCTACTGAGGTGGTTTATGTGTCGCTGTGATTCTAGAAGCTATGCCTCCGGTATTTTAAATACCAGCAGGGTCACCATGGTGGACAGGTTCAGCTGAGCTTCCAGACTAGGAAGAAGGCGAGGTAGACCACTTCTGAAGGGTTAGCAACTGAAAACCTCTGACTAGCATCAGCACATTATCTGATACAGTGCCAGAAGGTGAGTCCCTCAGGTTGGAAGGCGCTCAAAATACAACCGGGGAAGATCTGCCTCCTCAAAGCAGAGCTAACCTTCATGATGTGGATGGAGCAAAGATTTCAGGACTCACATTTACTGACAGGGCGTGACTGAAAATGAGAAGAAAAAGCTGCAAACATTCATTAATAACCAACGGGGGCATGGAATGTAGGAAGTCACTAGGCAAATCTCAAAGCTTCTGCAAAAGACCTCTATTAGGTGTTAAGACATCACTTGAGGACTAAGGTGTGCCTGACCCAAACCATGGCCTTTTTGATCACCTCATATGCATGTGAAAGCTGAACAATGGGTAAGAAAGAAGGCAGAAGAGTTGATGCATTTGAGTTTGGGTGTTGGAGAAGAATATTAAAAGTACCTTGGACTGGCAGAAGAATAAACAAATCTGTGTTGGAAGAAGTACAACCAGAATGCTCCTTAGAAGCTAGACTGTTGAGACTTTGGCTCACGTACTTTGGGCATGCAATCATGAGGGACCAATTCCTGGAGAAGGACATCATGCTTGGTAAATTGATTGTTGTCGTTGTTAGCTGCCTAGGAGTTGGTTCCAACTCATAGTGACCCTGTGCACAATAGAATGAAACATTGTCCAGTCCTGAACCGTCCTCAGTCTTTGTTACACTTGAGCCCATTGCTGCTGCCACTGTGCCAATCCATCTCGTTGGCGGTCTTTCTCTTTTTCACTGGTCTTCTTCCACTTTACCAGCAAAATGTCCTTCTCCAGGGACTGGTCCCTCCTGATAATTTTTCTGAAGTACAAGAGACAAAGTCTTGTCATCCTGGCTTCTAAGGAGCATTCTGACTGTACTTCTTCCAACATAGATTTGTTTATTTTTCTGGCAGCCCATGGCACTTTCAATATTCTTCTCCAACACCATAATTCAAATGTATCAATTCTTCTATGACCTTCCATATTCACTGTTAACTTTCACATGCACATGAGGCTATTGAAAATACCATGGCTTGGGTCAGGAGCACCTTAGTCCTCAAACTGACATCTTTGCTCTTCAACACTTTAAAGAGGTCTTATGTGGCAGATTTGCCTAATGCAAGACGTCATTCTGTTTCTTGACTGTTACTTCCATGAGTGTTGATAGTAGATCCAAGAAGAATGACGTCTTCAACAGCTTCAATATTTTCTTC